ACTGATCCACCACCTGCTATATCTCAGGAGGACAGGAAACTGGGGGAGCATCTGTTTGCTTGACCAGAGCAATAAACAGACGCTCATGATGGAACTGGCATGAGAAAGCATGAAACTCTCTCGCTCGTAAGCAGTAGCAGGAAGTTTTAGGGTGGTGATCAGCGACAATCATGCATGGCTGATACACCCCCTGGCGGTTTGGTAGTTCAACCTTTGGGATCTACTAGTCGATCCTTGGGTTGACTGCCTTCAACCACTGCCTAGAGAACACCAGGTCAAAGGGTAGGTCAGGGAAGATGTAGAAGTTCAGACTATGTCTGACTTCTCCAGCACTATCGAAAGTCCCAGGGATACCCTTGGCCTTCTCCCTGATGGTGAGCACTGTGGAGTCACCTATCCTGACCAGCAAAGGTTGCTGCAGCTGCTGAATTTTCATCCCCAAGTGCAGTTTCTTAACAGCACTGGGAGATATAAAGTTCCTGGTGGCTCCACAATCCAACAACCCTTTGATCCTGATGTGGTTGATCAGGGGCCGAAGTAGGATGAGATTAGACTTGTGCTTCTTTTGTTCCTCCAGGTGGAAGAAGAAGGCAACAAGTGATTGAAGCTCATCCTGCCCCGGGTCCCGATCCGGGTCAGGATCCTCATAGCAGAAGGACACTGCCCGTGCAGTCCCCAAACTCTCACAATCGGTCTCAATTGAAAAAAGTTGCAGATTCACCTACCTGGGTAGATGAAGGTGCAGCACTGGGGGGAACTACAGTCCCCAAGGTCTATTTCAGTTTTTTGACTGTCCTGGGCCTGGCATGTAAGGGCAGTCCTTTAGGAAGTGTTGTCCCTCACATCGCAGGCAGACCCCTCTCTCCTTTCTTCTTCTCCACACTCCCTCCTGGATCTTGAGGTCATGACAGGGGAGAGTGGAGGGATTGAGTGGGTCAGCTGGCATGCGGACGTCTTTGGGCAGGTTAGGGCGCTGGGAGGAGGAAGGCCAACGTCCCTTATCCTTCCCCTTTGCATTGGTTGAGGCTGTGGTGGGAGAGAACTTATTCTGCTGCTGCAGAACACCCAAAACAGCCTGAGTCAGGGCCGCTGCAACATCCGTTTCAGCAGCGGATCCAGTCCCAGCAGATGGTGTATCAGCCTGGGAATCTGAATCAAAAGCTGACGTAGATCCTGCATGTGTGAAGGCTGCCTTTCCCTTTCTACCACCACGAGGGAAGGCACCTTTCCTCCTGTCAGAGAAGGGGCCTGGACATGAAGTTTGGCCTCCATGTCCAGGGCTGCGCGGCCAAAGGATCCCCAGTCCTTGTGCCCAGCACTGTACAAAGCCACAACAAACTTCCTAGGCGCTGCCCTGCAGAAGTTGGTCAACAAATCATCTGTAGACATGACCAACCCAGGGGTAGAGGTGAGCTGCTCGAACTCTGCAAACAAGGCCTGCAGGGTACCGCTGTAGCGCTGCTGCCCCAAGCGAGCAATCTTGTCAGCAGCTTTGCGGACCCGCTCTTTGTCTGCAAAGCGATCCTCTAGGGCCTGCAGAAGTTTGTCCACCCCCAGCCCAAAAGCCCAGTCCTCCATCAACTGCTGCAGACTGCTGGAAGTTGAGGTGGCCCACTTCAAGGCGGGTCCCTCCAGCAGTCCCAGAATCGTGGCCACCTTAGTCTGTTCAGCATAGACGAAGCCCCTCAAGTAGGCTTTGGTCTCAGCAACCCAATCCCCAACATCGGTCTTTGGGTCATCCCCTCTGAACTTGTTGGGAGCTGGGATCTTGGGACCTCTCTGGTCTCCTGCAGCAACAGATGCATAAGATGGCTTGGCTGTGGCTTTTCGAGAAGGAGGTGGTGAAGGGGAAGAATGGCATGAACCAGAGGGGGTTGAAGAGGGAGAAGAGGAAGGTTTGGGTTTCGCTTAGAGGACAGGAGACAGGGGAGCGATCAGTTTGGCTGTTGTCAGCTGAGCAGTCAGGTCCTGGATTGCTGTCATGATCTTGGACTGTTGAGCTGCCAGGTCATCCACCCTGTGCTCCAGACGACCTATACGGTCATCCCAGTTAGTGAAATAGGAACTGATGGTTTTGTGTTCCGGAATGGCCCATTCCGCCAGATTCCTAGTCACCTGTGCACAACCCTCATCAGACATAGCCTTGCCTAGCTGCTCCAACAGATACTCCAGTCGCGAAGCATCTGTTGCAGCCTCTAGCTCGGCTGCCTCCTGTCTCTCCAACTCATCAAGCAGGGCCTGTTCCTGCTGCAATCTTTCCTGAATCTCCTTCTTCCTTCGCTGAGTAGCAGTCAGACGTGTAGTAGGGGTGGTGGTAGAAGGTTGCTCACCTTCCACATTCATGACCACTTCCACCTGTGGCTGCTGCTGAGCAGTCTGATCCGCCATTTTCCTCTTTCAGAACACACAAAATCAACAAACAGCAGAGAGTATGCAGCGATGTACGGATCCCTTCAGGCACTCAAAAATCACTGCCAACTCATGCACAAAAGTCAAGGGGGTGATTGGGAAACAAACGGTTTGGGTTGGAACTGTTTCTCTGGGGTCAGGGGTCAGACAGACTGTTAGTCCAGCAAAATCAAACACACGATTTCCTTATACTGACCCTGCAGCACACTGGAGTTAGTAAACACACTTCACTGTATCACTACTTTTCCAATACAGGATTCACAATCTGAACATCCGAGATCAAGCGCAATACGGTAAGGCAATCACAGAACAATTTTGGATGCAAAAGAGTCAACAGAGGGTTAGAAATGAGCAGAGGAAGGTAGGGGAGAGATGACTATGGCTGTCATGCAGTCTGCGATTTTCACATCCAGTCACTGACAGACACATAGACCACAATTACTCACTAATCTAATCCTATCTGAATCGCTATGCAGGTAGGTGCATGGAACAGACTCACTTTCAGAGTATCTTGCAGAGGTTGATGAAGATCTGGCTATGGCAGACTGAAACCCTCACTTCGCCAATTTCTTCTAGAGCTTCTTCCTCTGTCCTCCACGCACAGAACCACTTCAAACTTGTTGATCCCCTTTAGGATCCTGAAGCGCTTCACTCCCTTTAGTCAGATTCACTGAATCTGACCCTGTGGCACCCCAAAACGCCAACTGATCAAATCTCGCCACGGGACCTGAGATCCGCTGATACTATAAATAGCCCCAAATGGGGCTATTTCCTCCTGAGATTGATATAGACTGTCAATCTCCCTCAGCGCTGCTCAGGGATGAAGCCGCTCAGAGATCCCTGAAGCCTTCAGGGGTAATTCGCCACTCAGGGGTACTTCGCAACACTACCCTCAGGGTTGGCTATGGCGAATTGACCCTGTTCTCGCCACTTTCAAACAAGCGCCCTGACAGGCTCAGTGCGCTTGCTCAGTGCAAACACTGAACTCCTGAATCCACCGCTGAAAATCTTCTTCCCTGCTGACTCAGTACTGGGGAAGATAAATCGCCATGAAGTTCTCACCAATATGTCGCCAGATGAAGAAGATGCCCATTGCACTCAACCCTCGGTGCTCCAATTCCAATCTCGCTCTGATACCAACTGTTATGAACTTGGTTGTCTTACGTTTTTTTTTACCGCCACTCGAACAGACAGTCTCATACACGCCCATACATGCATAAGAGAAGGGGGAGAGGAGACAAAGTCCAAACTGCACACAGATCAAAGTAGACAGCGGAAGCACAACCATGCACAGATGGGGAGAGGACACACAGTGTTTCTCACTCTCTGACGATACTCCCAACAACCAAT